CTATGCACAAGTGCATGTCGTACCTTATATGTATGTATGTATATACGCATATACATGTGTGTGTGTGTGTGTGTATATGTGTGTGTATATGCAGAGATAGAGACAGAGAGAGCCAGAGAATTACATACATGCGCGCGTGCACCACAATTTTTCTCATAGTGTTCGACTACACTGCTCCAAGCTCTGTAGCCTATGTTATGGTGTGATGATGCACACTGCAGACTGTTGTAGACAACGGGCTCCGCCACTTCAAGAACGTCTGTGGTGAACGCAGGGTGGCCAGCAAGAGCCCACAGGAAGCAGGGTGCACCCGGCTTCAACACCTGGGCATACATTCACAACTGACACTGGTGCAAGGGATGTTGTGTGGCTCACTGTCTTGCTAGTGCCTGTCCAGATCTCGCAGAGAGGCATTGTCTGCCACAACAACGGCTCCATCCTGCAGAACTTCCGACTGCAGCAGCACGTCAAGATCCTGAGTTCGAAGTTCCAAAATGTCAGTTTTCCGACCTAACTACCATGGAGTCTTCTGCATGTCCAGCGTCTGTGTGATACCTGGACCCGCGCTGGTCCATGAACACAAAGCCGATGTTCAGCTGGCCTGACAGTTGAACATCATGTAGGATGCGCAGCGGCGAAATGAACATTGCTGAGCAATGCTGCTTACTTTGAGCCCGGCTGCGTCGCTGCATTTCACCCAGCAGCCATGGAAGCACGTCCTTCATCGGCTCACTGTCGCAACGAGGCGAGGCTACAAAACAAAGGCGACAGCTCCTCGGTATGTCCAACCACAATCTCGACCTGCAGCTACACAGGACGTCGACAGAACCAAAGAGCACATGGTGCATTTGGCCTCGAATTTTTCACCTATGCACAGGCACAACGCCGCTGCTACCCTGGCCTGATGTGCAACGCTCGCAAAGTTCAGGAGGGTCTCCTAGGATCTTGCCAAGGCCGATTTCTTGTTGCAACCCGCTGTCGGCTGCATGCAAATGTGGAAGTGCACAGTCAAGATGTGCGACTGCAAACACAATCGTAGGTCGTAGGTATCCCAACGAAAATAATCTTCGTGCTTCAACCTTCGCGCCAACACTGTCTGAAGATATTTGTGGAAGAGACCCGATCCATGCGGATCCTTTTCTCTCAGCGAAGTGCACTATCCGTCTTTCGCAACCCTTGAGCCAGGGAACTGCGATGAGGGCATGAGCGAGGTCGGCCTCTACAGAAACCTTGGCCACGAACCATCTTCGTCACTGCTGTGGGAGCAGATTCAACTCGCAGGGAAACCGCATCCGAGACACGACCCTTTTCGAAGAGCTCAGGTGGAGAGCTGAGAAGCCGCAGTAGAGGCCCAGCTCCAGGGCCAGTCCTTCACGCTGCGGCCTTATCAGCCTTTTGAAAACTCGAAATGCGCCCGTGGTTTCCTGCACCCCTTCCGGTCCTCCAGGGCTGGCCTCTGCCGCCACTTTCAGGACTTGGGCCTTTTGACCTCCGGCGATCTTCAGCCACTTGTTGCAGCGCGGGAGCCTTTGCTTTTGGAGGCACCGAGTCCGAGGGCTCCAGGAAAGATCCAAAAAGTAGATCCCCTAAATTGGGACCCTATACTACTCTGGGGTACTTTACAGGAACCCTCTTAATTAGGGGATCTATTTTCAGGATCAGTTCTCTCTCTCCCTGCAGCCTGGGAGCTCCTCCTTTCCATAGGATTCCATGAATTCAGCGACGCTGCTGGAGTCCCTGGAAGCCACGCGGAAAAGGCTCTGCAGAAGCCGCAGCTCCTGGAAAGGAGGGGAAGGCCCTTCCCGAAGATGCCATAGGGGCAGTTGTCAAAATTGGGGTCCCTTTTGGGGTACCCAAAATAATAGGTGCCGTATTATAATAAGGACCCAAAAAGGGACCATAATTTTGACAACCACCCATAGGAGGACGCCAAGCGTGCCTTGGCATAGTCGTGCCCGGACCGAATGGTCCAAGTCGTCCGCGGCAGCTCCTTCCATCATGCTAAATATACTATCGTTTAGGGTTTAGTGTTTAGGGGTTTAGGGTTTAGGGTTCTATCATGTGCTACAACAAATATACGATAATATATCATAGCTGACTATTTGTGCGTGGTTCAGGACCGAAGGTGCCTGACTGACAAGATGGCGAGAGCCGCTCTCAAGTCCAAGCGGCTCTCACTTGGTGCATCAAGAGTGATAACAATAACAGTGATAATAGCACCAAATAGTAGTACTGCAGTAATCCCATAACAATCATTATTAATACTATATTATCATTCTTGTGCCTCTCATGCCCTCTCCTCCGAGAGTCCACCACAAGCCAACCAAACACCATCAGCTGCAGCTTCCAGAGGCACCCGCTGAGCTGCACTTTGCCTTGGGAGGGGAGGCCATGGGCCACTCGAGAATCTTCGGACGAAGTATGGCAAGCAAAGTGCATGCATGCAGACAGCGGCAACTGCGTCCAAGAGGCAGCAGCTGCAGGGCTTCTTCCGCCTGGCCTTCGATGGCGAGCCGGCGTGCCACCGCGATGAGGCAGAGGGACTCTAGGGCACCGTTGCCCTGTCTCCTCTGCCATCTTGCGTAGATCTTCAGCAAGCTCCTCTTTAAAGAGCCGCTCAGACACCGAACGTGAGAAAACCATGGAGGCCACGTGCTGTCCTCTCACCCTTCCCGCGACGTCGGCAACTGGCGGCAAAGCAGCCCAGGCTTGGCCCGTCTGGGAATTGGCCCCGCGCCCTTGAGATGCGGATCCGACAACAAGGGACACTGCGCAGCACTTAGGCCTAGGCCCTAGGCTCAGTCCCGATCACTTGCACACACCTATGGCTCTATGGCTCACTGATGCTCACTGCGTTATTCTGGTGCCCTCCAGCGGCCCTCTGCGGTGGAGGGGCTCGGCACGCTCCAGCAGCTGCCAGGCAAGGTCGGCGCAAGAGTCGAAGCAACTGAAGGCTTCTAAAAGCATTCCTTAAAGCATCCGTGGAGAAAGCAGGTCTGCAGGCTCTACGGCACTCGTTTTGAGTCGAGCTTCCAACATTTTCTTCGCGGAGGCGTCCCTTAGCTGCTTGAGATAGCCAGTGTGGACATGAGCAGGACAAGGGAAAGATAGGGAGGGAAGATGGGGAAGCGTGAGGGAGGCAGAGGTACAGAGAGAGAGAGAGAGGGCGAGATTGATCATGGCAATGGCACCAGTGCAAAGAAACGTTGCTTCGCACAAGCTTAGATGCTCGACAAGGAGTGGAAATACTAGCACCTCTGACAACGTGAATTGAATTACAGCCGTGATTCTGCATTGGCCCAGCTCGTCTGCGATCCTTGTAGCAACTGTCCCATTTCTGCCAAGGCTGTCCTGAGGAGCTGTGGGCCATGGTGGCCGACTCGGGCGCAAGACCAAGCCAAGGTAGCGAGGCCGTCGGGGCGAAAGCTTCCAGAAGCCTCCAGGGCCTGCTCGGAGATCTTTGCGGTGAAGGGCGTGTCAGGGAGCCTCGACGTACCGAGCCCTCAGGCGGTGTTGCTGAGATGCTGTGGAGAAAGTCTCTCAAGGCCGTGAGCCGCGGCACAAGCGGCAGCAGACGTGAGGGCAGGGTGGAGCTCTCGCAGAGTGGCGTGGGATCGGACCAAGTTGGAAGAGTCCTAGGAGACGAGTTGCGGCAGCTTTTGCTGAGCCTCAGCCACAATCGCCTCTGAGGTCGGCAAGCTCAGGTGAGCCGGGCTGGCAGATGCCCGGACCCTGTTTGTTAACTCCTGGGACGAGAGCGACTTCCTGATGCTCGTCCCTTGGGCTGCGGAAGCCTCTAGAAGCGGGACGCTTCTCGCCTGAAGGTTGCTGAAAGCTTGGGCGGTGTTGCTAGCTCCCTGGGAGTTGGACCCTTCGCTCCTGTGCAAGCTATGCTGCACAGCCGTATCGGTGATAGCCTTCCCCGAAAGACGCGACTTCGTTGCAGCCTATGCCGTGTTCCCCAGGCTTCGCGTCGACATCTCCCACATTCTGCTGCAAGCGCCAATCGCGGAAGCGGTCACGCATGGCCCATCTCTGTCGTGACATGTCGCAGAGGCTCGCAAGATATTGGCGGGCTACTGTGCCGTGGAATCAGCAGCACGCTCAACCAAGACCTTCCAGGGCACCGCAGCGGCTGCTTGCTCTCTCATCCGCGGCTTTGCAGACGACCACGCCATGTCTGTCAGGACCTGTTCCGAAAACGGAAGCCATTATCACTAGAATTTAGCTATTCCCGCGAGGAATCGGACCTCCCACCTGTGGTCATGCTCCTTGCAGGGACGATGCCATGGATGGCGTCATAGGTGACAATGATGGCACCTTTCGCTCTCAGATCTGCTCCTGGGGAAGTTGGACACTTACCGGGACCCTGGCACTACTTTGCAGATTTTGCCGACCTTCTTGCTGCGAACGCTTCAGAGCGTGGTCCCTCTCAGTTCTGCTGGCAAGGCTCCGCAGATCATCCAGACTTCGCCAGCAGCTATAGTTCCGATACTCTTTGAACCAACTGCCTTGGCAAAGAGTTCCACAGCGATGCGACACTTAGACTGCAAGTGACTGCATGCAGCAAGTCTTTTTGGACCCCCCCCCCCAGGGGTCCGGACGCCTCCTTCTCCCCTGCTGCCTCGCAGTCGATTCGATGCAAAAGCCTTACTAATTAGAATAGGGTTTTGGGATAACTATACTATATATAATATATAGACTCTATAATTTTTGTTTTGGGGTACACTATACTATACATAGACTGTATAAGTATAATAAGGAACCCCCATCACAGCAGGCAAAAGCGAAGCTGGGCACTTCAGCACTGTCAAGCAAGCAGAGTCGGCATGTTTTTGGGCGTTTCGATCCGGGGCCGGGGGTTCGACAGCGCGAATGCTTACCGCTAGTTGGTAATAGGTAGAATTATTAGGGTACCCCTTAAAGGGTACCCCTTCTGAACCCTACTTTCGGCTCTCTTAAAAGGGACCTTATTGAGAGGGTCTATATCCCCCAGGGTCCCCCTAATCCTAGCTCCCAGGTAAGGAGCAGATCTGCAAACAGGGCATGAAGCGGGCCGCCTTGGTGCAGACTAGCTCGGTTTGGAGTGATAGCCATGGGCCTTACAACCTAACCCCTTCGGCGGCCGCAGCCCCAGCACGCTCAAACACACTTCCACAGGCAACACGGCAACAAAGAACCCTGCTTCCCTTGGATCGCCTGTGCATGCAGCACGCCCCGTTGAAGCTCCGCAAGCTGCACACGCATGGCCAGACGCTATGCAGATCCAGCAGTGCACACCCGAGGTTGCCAGGGCTATGTTGGACAGACTTGCTGCCGGAATGTGGAGTTTCCTGCTTTTCTCGGGTTGGATCTCGGGTACAGTAGGCTGAAGTAGGCTGCGTGGCCACTACAGTCTCTACGGGGTGATCCCTGTGCGCTTGAAGTTCCATCAGAGGTCTTATGCAGCGTGCTCGTCGGAATATCTTGGCGCCGACGACTCGTCTCATGTGACTCTGACTGTGACTTCTTGCTTGGCATGCTGCCGCCCATGAACCCATGGACAACTCCCTGGAGCAGAAGTGGCAGAACGGTCGAAAAGGGGGACTGACGTGTTTGTGGGAGCCGTCTCCAGCACACAGCGCCTGAACAGCGAGAGACGGAGAGGAACAGAAAGAGCCGGGAAGGAGGGAGCTGCCCCTGAGCTGCCATGGCCCGGGGCCATGGCACCAAGCGTACACATCGATGCCCATCGGACCAAGTCCACCCGTGAAAAGAAGGGCAAAGCCACGAGGACCTTGAAGCACACATGAACAGCAAGGCACTGAACGGGCCATCCTGGTGGCACCATCTCGACGCATGTGCTATGTGCATGCTGACAAGGCCCCGGCAACCACCAACACTCGAGCTGCTAGCTGTTGCCTGTCAGTACGTCCAGTACGATGCAAATGATGCAACAGAACAGAGCTCATCATAAGCCGGTAGCATGGATGCGACACTTGCATCCCTCATAAGCCCACGAACCCTTGACGTGCCACGGCCCCGATACAAAACGATCCCACCCTGCTCCCCGGCACCAGGCGAAGGCCGACATCCACGAGGACTCAGAGCTTTGCGACCAACACCTGGCTTTCGGAGTTTAGTGAAGTGTCTTCTTTCCGTGCTTGTTTGAAAGAGGCTCCGGGGCTTTCATCGCATGGCCCTAAGGCCCCGACCAGTGCCACCATCCAAGCGACGAGGTGTATCTGAGAACGAAAGGCTATGACAAGGTCTCTGTAGTCACTGTAGTCGGAAGTTCACAAGTCGCAGCCCTCTTATCCGATGGAACCTTCATAAATTTCATATGGCGATCCAAGGACGGCCCGGATTCTGGCCTTCATTGATTCATGTTGCCCAACTTGGGCCATGAAAGAGCTGACGGGGTTCTGGTCCGGTTAGCACATGAGGATCTCAGAAACTCAGAGTCCCAAATCTCTGAGGAACCAGGCGATGCCCGTCGCAGTTCGGCGAGTGCTAGCAGCCTTTGCCCGGTACCTGGTCAAAGAGGCTCGACGTTGCACAATGGCTTGTTGACAAGACATTCAGGAGCCTGTGACGAAGTGCTAACAGTTGGCTCACCCTGTTTACCACATGCTCACACCATAAACAGGAAGGGCATGCTGCTTTCACTCCATCGCAGCAGCTCCCGCACCCGCTCCTGTGCAAGTCGGATTCGAACCTTCAAGCCTGCCTTCAACTCTGAAAAGTGCGCCGGAGTTTTTGGACACGATGTCTTGGTAGCTGTCTCCTCTGGGGCCGGCAGGGACCAGCGTTGTAGTAGTGCCTGAACGGTGCAACTCCTGCGTCTTACCTAGTTCGCGGCCTTGAGGTGATCCGAGTTCGGTTTGTCACAGAAATGGTGTACAGGACTATCTACAGGACTTTAGCTTACAGGCTTACAGCCTCAAGCCACTCATGCACCTTGCATCGCATCTGGGGTGGGGTGGGGTGGGGTGGGTGGGGTGGGGTGGGGCGGGCTGGGGGGGGCGGGGCTGGGCAGATCTGGGCAACTTTGGTGGGGGAGGGGTGGGGTGGGGTGGGTTGGGGGGCGGGTACCCTACCCAGAACCACGCCACCCTGGGTTAGTCGGGGACGCAGATGGGGTTCGTAGGGAAAAACCCCTAAATCCCTGGCACCGCATAGCGAAACGCATACACCTCAATGTACATCTTAAATCCTACACACGGAAACTTAATTTACACCATGTAAAACCTGATCCGTACAACCTAAACTCAATCCAATCCCTACAAGAGCCCAAGAAATTGAATTTCCAAATCCTTTACACTCGTTCTGGGCCCTGGCCTCGTGCTTCAACTGAAGCCCACCCTTTTACTCGGAAACTTCCGACGGTGGCAAAGATTCGGAAGTCTCACTTCCCAGACGAGACACCGCCTGAGAATCAGCAGGGTGAGCTTGCCGGACTGAAGCTCCTGTCAGCGCGGGGGCAAAATGGCTGTGGGTGGACGCTTGACTCGAAAGGGTCGGGACAACAGACGGCTTGGTGTCTCCTGAAGTGCCACAACTGCTTGGTCGAACAAACGCCGCTGCTCGTCGGGAGAGCGGCCATCGTAAAGCTTGGCGCTGGCAGGTGTGGCCAAGTCACCGAGACCGAGCAACTTGGATCCTGAACGAACCCATCCCAAGTCGCGCTTTAACACCTGATTCCGAAACAGCTGGCTTATGGATTGTGATCCACAAACCAGCTTCGCCTTTGCGACGTCCGCTGACGTTATCTCCACATGCTCCTTCACCAAAGATTTCATGTCCTTCAAAACCTCAGGAGGGACAAGGCCTTCAATGTCCCCGAAAATGCAGGACTGAGGGCGGTTGGCTGCAAGGATAGAGCGGCAGCTCGCAGAGCAATCTGAAGACGCCATGATCTTCAGCCGGGGCCGGCAACTCCCAAGCGGATAATGTGCTATTGCTGACTGGGCGGCGATCTCTGCCGTCCCATAGCCTGCGAACTCGGACCAAATGGAAACTTCCTCGGATAGCACTCGAAGAGCACAACAATTCCAACACTTGACCCTTTCCCGAACACCCGTCACCTCTCAAACCTGAAGGACCCGAAGCGGAAAGCATCTGACCATGCCACGTCTGGAACAGAAGAGGTCGTGGTGGCGGACGCCGGCACCAGCCGACGAGCAGCAGACATGAAAGTTTTCATGAAATGAAAAGCTTGCACCAGAATCGGGGACGTTGTCAAATCCCTATCTTTGCTCCGATCTCCCGGGCCCGCCTCGGCTACTTGAATTCCAGAATCGTCGGAACGCCTGTGCTTTCTCTTCGGTTGGGAACCACGATCAGCGGGCCCTGACCAGGATCCCCAATCTGGGCCTTCAGGAGACACATCCCGGAACATGGCCTGCAACCCAGCACAGGTGGCTAGGTTCTAAACCAGTAAACGTTGCCTCTATAGCCACCTCACCTATTCTTCAGCACGGATAGAAACCACACGAGGCCTGCCAAAACGTTCGGCTCAACATGCCATCGCTTCCCTACCGTGCCCCGTCCTACTTCCTTATCTCAGGCCTTGCTTTCGGATGCATGATTTTACTTCCTTACCAAATCAAACGAATCATGACTGCATGCAGCAACACGACTACAAACAGACAGATCTGAGAATCTGAAGGGCGGCTGGCAGAGTTT